TCCTGAAGTCTCTTTAGGGACAACACTGGGTTCTTTAACAGTAATCTAAGTTATACAATATTCCTGAAGGAGAATTCCTCCTGTTTACAGCTAAACATAAGTTTTTCCAAAGTTAAATTTCCTCTGCCACCAATACACACTGGAGCAAAGCATACATCAGAGGACAAAAATACTGCAAGAGTTTTCCTGAGATAGTGAAAGAACTGTCATAGAAGGCCCCCTAATCTTTTTTTTTCCCCCTAATCTTTTTAAATAACCCGTCATTTTATCCCTCTACCCTGACTTTTGGACTGGCCACAATTTCTCAGATGCCACTTCCTACTATTCTTCCCCTAATGCTCTTCACTCAAACCACACTGGCCTGGCTGTTCCCCAGCACCTACCTCAGGGCCTCTCTACTTGCTACTCCCTTCCCCCTAGATTCTCTCAGGTATCTGCTTGGATCAACTCCTTCTTTCCTTCAGGTCTTTGCTCAAATATCACTCATCAGAGAGGCTTTTTATGTTCATACATGTTCAGACTGTAATAAGCTCCGTCATGCCCCTTACTTTATTTGGTTTATCTCCTCAGCACTTACCATCATCTGACACAGTATAAACTTAGATGTAAGCCTATTTATTGCCTATCTTCCTCTCTAGAATGTCAGCTCCACAAGGCTAGAGGGACTTAATTGTGCTCACATCCCTAGAATCTAGAACATGACTTTGTTGTAGTTTATAACTAGAACAAGTGCTCAAGAGTTATTAACTAAATGAATATAAAAATGAATGAAGAATTACTTAAGGACCATGCTAAGTGTCCCATTTTCCCTCCAGGTGAATGAGAAAGAGTCTGCTTATAAGAGACATAAAATGCTCAAATACTAAGAATAGCTTAAATAAAAAGGTGCCCATACATGTTTAAACTTGTGGTCCACCCGAGGCAGCTGGTTTAACACTGATGACAAGGCAACTGTGGGGCGTTACAAAAGAAGGAATATCTCAAAAGAAGAGACCAAAATTATGTGGTATGGAACACCTGGTTTTTCAAATCAGAGGGAACATAATACCTTCTGAAGCTTCATTGCCAAGAGCAAGCTTTATTAAGATGAAGCTATGTTACCCTTTCAATTGTAGTTTTTATTATATGGTAATTCTCTTCCTTTTCAAGGGCACAAAAACAAACTTATAAATGAATTGAAAACATTGAGAGGTAATACAGAGGAAAGGTTAAGAGTAAATAACTACATTCAAATCTCAGCCCTCCCATTTTCCATGTTTGACCTTGGCAAAGAAATCAATTTCTCTGTATCTCATTTGTCTTGATAGGGACTGGATTAGTGGCATATGAAGGCATTCAGAAAAGTATTAAATTCTTGCTATTATTACTAATATTAAATACATTATAGTCTTATCCCCTCTTTGTTCAACATTTTGTCAAAAGCACTGAGTCTCTACTGTATGTCAAGCACTGAGATAGATGCTAGGGGCTCTGAAAAGGTAAATAAAAATGGATTCTTTCCATCACATGCTCACAATTTATACATGATCATAAACACTACTAGGACCGATGTTATAGAAACAGTCCAGGTCCTTAAAAGTGGGTCAGGATCACTGGAAAAGGGATTTGTCTAGAGCAGATGTAGATTAAGTTCTTCTCAATTTTTTAAACTGAGATTTGGGTGAGAATTTATAAATCAAATTAAATTTTTCCACTCAACAATTTATATACCTTTTATCCACAACACTAACTGCAATCTCTACAATGTAACAGTATTCTTCCCACTCCACCTGTGCTCCCCATTTCTAGACATCTTTCTTTTTTGTTCATTTTGTCTTCTGAGCTTTGCTTTGGGGCAAATGCTGCCCTTCTGGTCTCATATAACTGATTATTCTAAGGAGTGCAGGCCCTTCCTGGTGCTACTGTTTGCTGTATTGGCCTATTGTTCAATCAGTTTTCAGTATCTATGGGGGCCTCTGTATGAGCTCAATTTTAAGCTTGAAGGATGTAGAAAAGCTATAGTCTTAGGGGTTCTACCAGTCTCTATCTGTTCAAAGAATCTTTTGGATTTCTGGGTTTTGTTCTGTGTTTTTCTCTCACTCTCAGGCACCTTCTAGTTCTGATATCAGAGCCATGGAGACATACTCCATTAGTATTTTAGACTGCTTCTTTGCGTCTTTGATTTCTTCACTCTTCTTTGCTTCAGACAAGATGAGACCAATACTTACATCCTACATGGCCACTTGCAAACTTTCAGGACCCCAGTCACTAGATGTAGAACATTGTCTTTGCTATTACTACTACTGCCAACTGACCTAAATGGCCCCTGAGAGTATGATCTTAATTTCTCAAGCCCAGTGACTTTCCCCTCAAGGTATCTCATTTTGGCTTAAACTGAAAAAAACTCTTTAATGCTAAAGAACCGACTCATAGCTGTCACTCCAGCAAGCTGTCTCAGGCTGTAAATGGTGGATTCAAACTTCTAGAGAAGCAATGTGATTTGGGTTAGCAGTGCACGATATTATGGAATATGCTTAGACATTTGGTCATGACTGAAGGGAGCTCTGAGGACACAGTACACAGAGAGCTGTGCTACTAAGCCAAAGGTGGTGCCTCTCTGGTGCTTCAAATCCACCTGCCACTCCATGAGAGTAAGATGGGCAATTTCCTCTTGTGTAATTTATAGCTTCCTCAAAACCTACTGGAGGACCCGCTATGGGTTCGGACCTGACAACAATGAAAAATGAGTAGTAGGAAGTTTTCATAACTTGGCCTCCTGTATGCTCTACTGTATACATGGTTGTGTTTGTAACACATATAAATACATGGGTGGAAATATCCTCAGCCAAACTTACATATATTTGTGGGTGTAGTCCCATTTGCTTTTCCATTTCTGTTCAGTTTGTGATTGTGCATGCAACAGTGTTCACCTTCGTTGCCTTGTGAATCTCTTGGTCAATTTTTCTGCCTTGGTCATACTGGGCTGGCTTCTTCCTTTTTGCATATTGCCTTTCCCTTCATCTAAGTTAAGTGTGTGTCTTCTCTCTCAATAGTGATTTTTCCTTCCTATCCTTGGTAACTATCAAAGAATGTTTCTGTGTGTAAACCTCTTCTTGACCTTTTAGAATAATGGTCTCCTTTAATATTTGTCCTCTAATAATTGATTCATTTCACTTAACATAATGTCCTCCATGTTCATCTATATTTTGAAGTGTTTTGTGGATTCAATGCTATTCTTTTTTAAAATTATTATTATTTTTGTGCATGTACCATCAACTTGGATCTGACTGGTACAAAAGGAGATTGCATAAATCTATTTGTGCAATGTCTCTTATTTCTCTAGGGTTACATAGTTGTGGGATCACTCCATCATACAGTATTTCTAACTCTTAAAAAAACCCCATCATACCAATTCATGGCTGTACATTTTATACCTCAGTGACGGTATATAAGGGAACTAATCTCTCCAAACTCTCACCAGCATTTGTTACTTTCTGGTGGATTGTTTCTTTTTTATTTGATATTTATGCTGGAGTAAGATGATAAGCTAAGAATCGGGCTGCTAACCAAAAGGTCAGCAGTCAGAATCTACTAGTTGTTCTGTGAGAGAAAGATGTAGCAGTACCTTCCTGTGAAGACTCTATGGATCTGTGCTACTGAGTCCTAAACTGCTATGAGTTGGAGAGAAATCATTCAGTGGGTATGACGTGATCTGAGATGATATCTCATTGTTGTTTTGATTTGCATTTTTCTAATGCTGAGTGAATATGAACATTTCTTAATGTGTTTGTTGCCCACTTGAATATCTTCTTTGGTGAAATGTCTGTTTATGTGCTCTGTCCATTTTTAATTGGACTGTTTGTCTTTTTTTTTTTTTGGACTGTTTGTCTTTTTATTGCTGAGGTATTCTTCTCTCTTTAAAAAAAAATATTTATTTATTTATTTTTAATTTGGTGTACCGTCAAATTGGATCTCACTAGCACAGGAGGAGTTTGCCTCTCCTTCTCCAGCGGAGCATCTGGTGGATTCTAACCACGTACCTTCAGGATTGTAGTACAGCTTCTTGCCACTAGGCCACCAGAGCTCCTTAAGTATTCTCCTCTTCCATCTTAAGGTTGAAATATAAGGAAGGCCTCAAGTTCAATCACTAATAGTAATTCTCTTCAGGCCAACACCTATAGTAGGCAAGTAAGTAGTCTACTATCAATTCACATTCCATTTCAAAGGCTTTATAAGCAATGCTTGATCCGTGCTGTGGCCCCTACCTGACTTTCTTCCCTCAGTTCCTGCTTTACAACATGCCTCTGGAAACTATGAACTTTGAGAAATGACGATAGCTATAGAAAGGCTTCAGGTCTTTTGTTCATAAGGTTGCTATGAGTCATACTCGACTAGACAGCAATCGACAAGAACCACCACAACAACACACTCCTCTTTTAAATCTTCCAAGGTATCTTGTCATATATTGCCAAGTCACTTTCAACTAAGAACAACCTTATGTATAACAAAACAATATACTGCCCAATCCTGGTGTCCTCAAAATTGTTGCTATGTTTTAGCCCTTTGCTGAAGTCTCTGTATCAATCTATGCCACTGAGGGTTGGCCTACTTTTTCTGACCCTCTAGTAAGCATGATGTCCTTTCCAGGGACTGACCTCTCCTAGTAATGTGACCACAGTTCTAAGAAAGGTTAAATAACTTACCTGCCCTGCCTCACAGGTAACTAACTCAAACTCTCCACCACTGAGTCCGCATTGACTCAGCTGACACTCAGCAGGTTTTCGGAGGTTGTAAACTGCACTGGAGGAGATCACCTGTCTTTCTCCTGTGTAGCTGCTGGGGAAGTCAAACTGTCTTTGGATTAGCAGCATAACTCCCCACACAATACACTATCTGAGTTCAAAGCCAGGCAGTAGTAAATTTGGAAGAAGAGTACTTGTTTCCTGACTTTCAATCCCAAGATACACATGATACACGTGAAAACAAGTAGTAGATGAAGCAATGAGTACACAGATGAATACCTCATGAACTACGGACCCCAGCTGGAAGTCCAGTCTCTGGCAGAGTTCTCCAAGGTTGGCTAAGCTGCTGGCCCTGTGAGCACTGTCTGGATCTCTTGCTCCCCTCAGGAAGGTATGGATCAGAGGTTCTTGGTACTTTGAGACCATATCTCCTGTAGAAAAGAGATCAAAAACTATTCAAATGAATTTCTTACTTTATACAAAAAGAATAACAGTATCATCGTGATACATATTACAGTCTTGTGTACTTGTCAAAATACTTGTATAAGCATTAGAAACCAAGTGCTGGAAGAACATTTAATGCCAGAGAAAATACTTATGATAGATTATTTTGTGAAAAAAGCAAGGAGAATGACATGTTTCCTCTAAAAATTTACATAAAGAGAGAGAATATTTGAAGGCATTACTATGACTTTAGTATTAATTATTCAGAATCAGATTATGGGAAACTCTAAGAAGTATACATACACATACAAGAAAAATGTATATAACATAAAAATAAGCCCATGGCCACACATATAGTAAGTTATGGCTACTAGATTAGATCTCTGCCATTAGTCAAGGATTTTTCCTACAAATTTTTAATTTGCTCACCTGAGCAAACAAGTCTAAAAGAGGCACTCCACTGCTGCTATTCTTTTTTCATCCCCCTTTGATTTTCTCTTGTGAGACATAAGGTGTTAAAAGCCACTCTCCAGGGAAACTCCCTCAATTCTTTCACAACCCTTTGGTTTATCAGATCATGGGAGATCACTGCATAACCGCCACACTGTATCATTACATACATGCAATTCAATCCATGACACTGAGTAAGCCATGATGTCTCCAGGTATTGGTAACTTCAGATAACATATCCAAAATATGCCAGACAAATTGTCACCATCCTCTTGTCTAAGGAATATTCTGGCTGCACTTCCTCCAAGCCAGATTTGTTTCCTGGCAGTCAGCAGTTATGTTCAATATTCTTTGCCAAAACCATAATTCAAAGTCATTGATTCTTTGGTTCTTCTTATCTACTCTCTGGCTTTTTTGGGGGGGGGATTCCATTCATTCATTGTTGCACCCTTCTCCCCGCACAAACCCCTCCCTCCCCCCCCCGCCCCGTTTGCTCCTCTCCTTGAAAAGCAAAAGAAAAACTCCCTCATTGGTACACAATCCCCCCGCACCTCCCCAAACCCCACCCCCTACCCCCAAATATAATCCACTCTGCAACCCTCATTGCATACTCCTACGATAAAAATAATGCCTTAAAATATAATACTTTTAGACTATTCTCTCCCCCATAGACTTCAATGCCGTAAACATATTTCATCCAGTTTTTCTCAGTCTTACCCCCACATGTATATGAGGCAAATGAATGGCTTAAATCCTCAAAATAGTATCTTTTTCTCTCTAACACTTTCAAGAGGTCATTTGCAGCAGATTTACCCAGTGCAACACAAAGTTTAATTTCTTAACTCCTGCTTCCATGGACATAAATTACAGATCTAAGTAGTACTTCAATAATTTCTTCCTTTATCATGATGTTGTTTATCAGGATTAACTAATTAACTGGTTAGGACTTTGTAAGTGTGAGATATCTGTGACCCACCAAAGAGAATGGATAGCTTTCTAATAAGGTAAATAATGTACATGGTACAAATGGGATGGAATCATGTAAATAAGTTATCTGACATGGGAAATGGTTAGTTTTGCCATCCCATTATGTTTAAAATGAGTTGTTCCAGAGGTAGAAATGGGGACATCACAACCATCAGGAAAAAAGTGTCAGGAGTATAAAATATCCTTTGAACCTGAGATTTCTCTGCACTGAAAACTCCTCTCAAGAAAAAGAGAGCTGTTAACACCAAAGAACCATCAAGAAGCAGCGGTACAGAAATAGCAATAGTGGGATGGCAGCCACAGAGGCAATAGAACAAGGAGAAAGAGCAGTGGACTTCCTAGGCCATGGAGTGAGAACACACTACTTATGAGCAGAATGCCTACTGGTGGAGAGGAGTACTTTTGGACACCTACATCAGCAAAATCAAAAGAACTCTTTAATATTTACCAAAAGAGGGCAGGCTAAGGGGCAGTGAGACTGAGGTCCTGAGGCAGGCTTGCTTTAAGGCATGGCTGAGAAAAGGCAATCTTGACCAAAGAACGATATCCTGAGCTTTACTGATCCTGAATCGTAATTTCTTACTTCCCAATTATTAGGTCCCATATCTGTAAGTAGAGTTTGTGAGTTCTGTTTGGCCGCTCAGGTAATTATTGAACCAGTAGGGAAGCTTAGAATAATAGGAAGTAGCTATACTATGACAGATAAATTTGGTATCAGAATTGGTAAAAAGTTGGAAGGTGGAAGTACATCTGCCTTCACAGAAATCAGCTTGAGCTGATGCTAATTTTTTTCTCTCTCCTTTCAGAGTTAGAAGAGTCAGAGTCACTGTAGTGCCCACGTCTTTTTTTTAGGTGGCAAGAAACAGATTATGTACATATTTTAAAGATAAGAGCCAACATGACTTCATAGTAACTTTTCTTACTGGAAGAATAAAACTACTACCAACTGAAATAGTCTAATCTCTGAGTGAAGTGGGTTTTTGGCAGAAGAAAGGGTCAGGGTTGTGTTTTAGACAGAGAGAGTAGACAGTTAAGAGATGTACATATGCTGAAATGGAAGGATCTCCTCAAGACACTGTGAAGTTAAAAAAGAAAAACCTAATACATATAATATATTCTACTAAGTTTCTAAAAATTCACACATATCACTTCTCCCACTGTTAATAAGCAAAACTTATAAAAACCCTCATTGAGGCTTCCCCTTGTTTTTCACTTAATGAAAAAGGAGTGGGAAAATTGATGTATTTGAAATTTGGTGCTAAGAAAATGGAATATTCATACTGTGAACTTTGAAATGAACAAACAAATCAACTTTAGAAGAAATATAACTGGGAAGCTCCTTAGAAACTAGGACGGCAAGACTGACATACTTACTCTGGGCATACTATCAGAGAAGACCCTTATTTATGGAGTGCTCTAACAGGTATCAGAAACTGTGCTAAACACTTTATGAGTTCACATAATTCTGTGAAGTAGACATCGTTATGCCCATTTCATAGGCGTGAAAACCAAGATTAGCTTGTCCTAAGAGTATATATAAGGGTAAAAGCTAGGTTTATCGGATGCTTATCTATTGAATTTAAAATCTTTATCACTAAGGGGAAAAAATGTAACTTTTATATTTTAGTAATAGTATTTTCTCTTTCTGGAGTTAAGAAGCCTGCTCACTGGGCCGTGTGGGATCTGGTACCTCCAGCACTGCTCTCAGTGTGACTCTGGGCAACTCTCTATACCTCTGGGCCAAGTGGAAATGAGCCAGCTGTTCATGAACTCATGAGTTACCTCTGGTTTAGTCATCACGGAAATGAGTCTTAAGAAACTAGAGAAGGAAGAAAAGAGCCACATGTATAAATCCTGAAGTAGGATGCTGTTGTTACAGGAAAAAAATTTCCATGTTGGGAAGGAAGGCACAGAAAAATTAATGACGTCTGGCAATCTGTAAGAATGGGAAACTATGATCTAATGGAACCAAAAGCATTACTGGAATGTTTGAAGACATAATAAGAAGACAGGAATGAGAGGCAAAGAGAGTAGAACAGTTTTAAGGAGTCATGTTATAAAACGGAGCATAAGATACTTAATTTGTTACTATTATTGATTCATAAGCATCTTGGAGACTGCTGCAGACAAAGAAATGGCACCAATAAGTACCAAAACTACGTCCAAAATGCAGCTTTTCGAATTCTTTGGTGATAAAAACGACTCTAAAATTGCCAGGGGAGCTATTTAAAGCCGAAATATGAGATTAAAAATGCCAAAGGTGTAAAAAAAAAAAAAAAAGAATGGGAAACTGCAGGTTGAAAAGCGTAAGAACAGCTGAGAAACAGGTTAATGTTTATTAATATAAGGATTGAAAGTTAAAAAATAAAAGGTAAACAAAGGGCGTACTGGGTTACATTATGACCAAATATGTATTATATATTATGCTCCAGGCACTACTGTGCTAAGCACTGGTGATTGCATCACAAGCAAGAAAGCACAGATTTCACAAAAATGATATGGATTTCCTAATTCCTCCATTCCATCTTGAGAAAATACATACCACGGACTACAAGACTGAGACTAAGAGATAGCCATCAGCCTCAAATTAGAGGCCATTATCTTCTCTTCAGGGAGTTCTAAACAGTTTCAGGAAAATGAGCATGGTAAATCCAACCCTGCTTTTTAGAAACATGCCCAAATAGATTCTAGTCAGTGGAGTTTATCTTTAGCTCTCATGACTTTTACTTTGAGCAATGATAATGACAACACCTGGCTCTTTGCAGTTCAATATTCTTCACAGGAAGCCAGCAGCCATAATCAACCTGATTGAGAAGCAAACAGCCATATGTTCAGGAAAGCAAGTTAAGTAATCTAGATTTGTTTGAAGAAAAATTGATAAAGAGTAGTCACCTTGAAAGAGGAAAAAAATCAAGGCCATAGGGAAAAAAGAGATATAAATTTAAACACAGGTCAAATCCTTCCTAACTACTCTCATCTATCTGCTAAGAGGAGGTAACTAAGGGATAGTCTATCTTATTGGTTAAAGATTTGCTTGGAAAAATCAACTCTATTCTCCCAGGATCAAATGTTTACTTACAGTTACCACTCCTGGGTACTGTATGCTTATACACGCTCAAAGTAATGTTTCAGTGTATGTTTCTCAAAACACAAACATGAGACTTGCAGTTCTGCAATGCAATTTGGTTATAAAATTAAAAATTGTAATTTCTTTTGGGGAATTCACAGATCTCTAGAAACATACCAGTATTCAATATTCAGACTCCTGAAAATATATTAGACTTTAATCTCCAGACTCCAGTTAGAGAAATGTCCTTCTATTTGGTCAGTTCAATGAAACAGTTTAATATTAATTTATTTTGTGCAAGGCCCTCGGGAATGAGAGTGGGGTCAATGGAAATACAGAGATGAAGACTTTGTCCTGTAGGAAATGAGAGATACCAAGTGATGTGGGAGCAATAAGGTGGATGAGACTTCGTTTGTTTGGTGAAGATGGCATCTAAATGGAACCTTGAAGGATGTTTATTTCATTATTTGTGTGTGTGTGTGT